TATATATATATATATATACGTAGTATATATATATATATATATACCTACTATATATATATATACGTACATACATAGATACATACACGCGCGTACGCGTACGCACACAAACAGACAGACACACATACACAGACACACATACCATGTATGTATGTATGTATGTATGTATGTGTATGTATGTATGTATGTATATACACACACACACACGCATATATATATATATATATTTGTGTGTGCGTGCGTGCGTGCGTGCGTGTGTGTGATTGTGTGTGGATGTGTGTGTATGTGTGTGTATGTGTAAGTGTATGCATATATATATATATATATATGAGGGTGCGTGCATGAGTGCGAGTGCGTAGTTTGTGAGAGTGTGTGATTGTGTGTGTGTGTGTGTGTGAGAGAGAGAGAGAGAGAGAGAGAGAGTACTCTGTTCCCATACCGTGTCAGCATTGGCGGTACACTCTTCTACCAGAATTGAGATGTCACCGAGGGCACCGGTACCACACTGCGTACACAGTGCGCAACGGCCTTCTTCTGTCAAATAGTACCCCTCTAGACATTTCTTGCACTGAAAGATATGGGATTAGGGGTCAAATTAATGAGCTTGATATGGATATGTACATTTGTACATATATATGTATATGTATATATATACATACACATGCACATATACATACACATTTTATACATATACTTATACATATAATACATATGTATGTTATAAATATATATATGTACAAAATAATCCACGATATACAAATTTAGATATCTACACATATATTAACGTACGAGAATTATATTCGAAGTATATATGAACACATGCACTATAGCAGGACATTTCGTGTTAACACTGCTAACAAACAGTGATTCGCATTTCATATTTTAAACCATTTCTATAGATCTTAAGCCTACCTGAGATCCAAAACTGAAGTCAACGGCATCAAATTCGCACGTAGTGGTGTCCCCGCTCTCGCAGTTCTCGGGCAGGATGCAATCGTCACTGCACTCCGGTCCAGTTTTACCTACGGGACAGGTGCACAATGTATCGTGGGAGTTGGAACAGTCCTCCTGTAGGTAAAACCATAGACTGATTGAGTATGTGCAGTCACCCACTAAGCTTTGGTCTAGTTTTATCAACTGGACAGCTGCACGTTGTATCGTGTGAAAGAGTAGAGTCATATCTATCAATTTATACTCCCACACATCTTTACATTTAAATTCTCATGTACCTATACAGAATCATACGTCCGTATATTGTATACCTACCGAGCTATTGAACTTCCCACAAGTACTGCAGGTAGGACAGCCTTCCCCTGGTCGGAAGTAGGTGCCTTTAGAACACGCACACGGCTGGTCCCATACCGACGCATATGTGCGATTACTGTCACACTGTGCGCCCTCTCCACACAACTCGGACACAACTTCCGCCTGCCAGTCACATGAACAGAAGTTGTTGATGTCCTCGGCTTTACATTGCATACCTAGTGTATGATGTCAGTGGATGTATTAATAGAGTGGATGTGGTGAGGAAATAACGATGTGACTAAATAAAGCGTAGTGTATTGATGTCAGGTAATGTGTTAAAGGTGGATGTTGTGATGAAACAAGGGGGTAACGGGATAAGGCGTTCATACACTCGGAAAGAATGAGGTGAGAATATAAGGGTGTGACGGATCGAGTGACTTTGGAAGTACTGATGGCAGTGCCAGAGTGTCTCTAAAAATATACATTCTCCGTTACGGGTATGTGGTATATTCGGCAAGCAATAATGATGAACGATAGATGTGATCGGATAAGGGCCGACGGTGATGCCCGGGCTGGTACAACGCACACCTTGCTTGCATCTCTGCCTCGCATATAAGGCTTCGAAACAGCTCATACAACACATACGTACACCTAGTAGCCATACAGACACACATACCAGACTGGAAGTAGACCCGTCCACAAGTGCCTTCGTTGTTGGCGATACTGGAAGTGTTGTCCAGATTCAGCACGAACCCTTGCAGAGCCACACCTGCACCTCTACCCGCGCGGTTGCAGGTGACTTGAGATTCGGACATTTTCACCTGTTACCATATAAGACGCACACTCCGGGGTCAGTAAATGCGGATGTCAGCCACCTTGCTCCATACACACATGCTGTCATGCGTATCAACACCCACTTCCGAGTACACAGCACCTCCACTCTCTGACTTATCGTACTACAATACGCACACATACGTACACTTACGATTGCATACATACCACCAATACATACAGTAAATATACCACTTACATTCACAGCTTTGGGTCAAATGACTCTCAGACCTACCTGATACGCACGCACGGCACCGCCGATATCTACCGCCTTGTTCGACACAAGTGTGCTATTACGTATATCAATATCCGCTTCTGAGTACAAAGCACCTCCACTGTCCGCCTCGTTGTGTGTATACGTGTCTCCAATGAAAATTGAGTCGTGTTCAATGTACATAGCCCCGCCCTTGTTGTAGGCGTGGTTGTCCTCGTATACCGAGAATGTGCTGTTGAGACCCGACCCACAGTACACGGCACCCCCAGAGTCCCCGGCAGAGTTGTTGGTGAACATTGAACCTATTGATAAAAATGGTAATAAAGCAAAGTTTGCTAATGTATGTCTTTTGATCTAGGCCTAGGGTTTGAAGTCTGTGTTTAGTGTTTTAGGATTGAATGGTGATATTCTCGTGCGCTGTGCATGTGCTGTTAAGGATGTGACCGGTGTATAAGGCACGCCTCTAGTCACCTGTGAAGATATTAGTGAAACCCGAACCTGTTGTGTGGTGGAGTACACCCTCCTTTTTTTTAAACACACACACACACATATATAT